TGCAAGCTAATATCATTTTTATTTTAATAAGAGTCTACTAAGTTATGTGAACAATATGTGTTCATGATAAAAATTATAGAGAAGATGATGAAAATTTCCCTAATCTCAACACACAGTTTTATTTGGTATATTTTGGTATATTTTTTCTGTGATGAGATGCATAATGATTGAAAATTGGGATTGTGTTATAAACAAAGGTTTGTATCTTGTAATTCACAGTATTGTGTGTGGACCATTTTCTCATACACTTAGATATTTTTGGAAGGCCTGAGGTGAATGGCAGTACTTCCTTGTGAACTCCCAGTTAGTTTTCCTCCCGTCCCCCGAAAGAGGACACGTGCTTGTTGGTGGACACGGTTGAGGCGGACCTAGCCCGTGACACAGCCCCAAGCTGGAGCCCGGGGACGAGGGGGGCTGGGCTACAGGCAGGCGGGCGGGCACTGGGCTGAGTGCAGGGCAGGGTTGGGGAGGGGAAAGGGAGGAAGGGGCTTCGGGAGGGCTGATGCGGGCGAGACTCTTTGACCTCCTTCAGTATCTGAGGGACGTAGCGTGTAGGCTTTGTTTTCCCTTACCTCGTCTGTGTTTTTCTTGAATTTGTCATTGTCTAGGACTGAACCCCGTCTAGGCTTCAGTGAGTTTACCTCATAATGCTGCAGCCTTTATCCTTGTGCACATTTTTGTATTTCTCCAATTATTTCTTTCAAGTCCATTCATAAACACTGTTCCTGATGTAGATTGTTCTCCAGAAGATCTGAGCGGTTTCCGTTCCCACCAGCAGTGTCTAACTGTCCTCATCTCGGGGACCCTTAGCTACACTGATGCTTCTATTTGTCCTTCAGTAGGTCTTAGGTCCAGGCATCACTCAGGCTGTGTATGAAGACAGCGTTCAGGCGCTCGTGGTGATGGAATTAATGTGTAATGATTGCTCCTGAAGTTTATGTTCTGATTTTGAAAGTAACTTCTAAGACATTGAATGTTCTTCTTAAACTTTATTTTTATCAGCTTGATTGAGATGTAAACCACATCCCATTCAGTTCACCCAGTTAAAGTCTGCAGGTCCGTGGTTTTAGTGTATCCGCACATCTGTGCAGTCATTGCCCACTGTCAGTTTTGAGGAGGTGCTTTTTTATATGAGAAATGTCAGCACCCCAGAGGAGCACAGCTTTCTGTTTCTTTCACGAAGCGGCTCTAGTGTGAAACAGTCATCGTGAAAGCGTGTGTGTATGATATTTAATGAAAAGTCTCATTAAATGCTGTCAGTGAGTGTGAACATGAAGAAGTGCCATTTGAAGAGTTTTGAAATGAAAGATTTAATATCAAGAACACTGAAAACAACTCCTTGTATCTTTTCATGTAGCGAAGAGACCAGTTTCAGGACAAAACTTGGCTTGTGTCTGCTCAGAAAATTACAGAGCCTGCTGCTAAATACGGAGTACCCTTAGCGCACAAGAAATAC